TGATCATCATGTTTTTCCTTTTATAAATGAAGGTTCCTCCCTCCTCTTCCTTCCCTGACAGGCATATAACAAATTTATTTCATATTACTTGCCCCACAAGAACTTTATTTTTATATTTTTCATTTATTATTTTTATAAAGTGAGTCACAATATTTGATTATGTTTAATTTTCGGACACCTATCCCACCACCATTACACCTTCCCACCACCATATTTTGGGTTTTCCATCCTGAACCCCAACCCATACCCCAAAGCAGAACTGAAATAATTTATTTTGTATTATTATGAATAAAGGACTGAAAATGCTCTAAAAAACTTTCCTTAGAGGAGAGTATGTGAAGATTGTTGTATTTCACCATTAAGCCTTTCAATGAGATTACTAATATGTTGTTAAGGGGTGAGCCTTGTGTGCTTTTATATATATATGTATGTATATATATATCTGTAAAAAATATTTCTTTCTAATATTGGTTGCCTTCTACTTTAAACCCCATCAAATGTGGTGCGCTACTTTTCGAGTATGAGTTGGTGTGAGTTATGAGATGCGGCTGCACGGTCCAAGGATAGGTTAGCTGTGGGTGAGGCTCGGCCCGAGTGGGTCCACAGAACTTTAAAAAATGGCAGATCAATGATCTGAATTAAATAAATTATCAGAAAATCATCAAAAGTCATTTTGTAATTATTAATTGCTATATGGTTTTAACAGTTTTTATCTAATAGAAGACAACTATATGCGCCATTAGAGTCATACTCAATGCCACATGGTGGGGATTTTCTTCTGTCTTTCCTTTAAAAAAGGAGCTCTCTTTAAAAAAATTTTTTTTAATTTTATAACTGTATTGAGTTATCAGTGTAATTGCAGAAATTCAGTATTCTAATACCAATCTCACCACTATTGCACCTTTCCACCATTATTATTTTCAATTTTCCCAACCACCCCTCAGCCTACCCATAGCAGGCCCTCAATAGTTTATTTTATTTTGATTTTTATAAATAATTTGCTAAAAGGATGATTAAAAACTGTTCTCTTGGAAGAAAATTATAAAGATTGTTGTATCTCACCATGGAGCCATTAAGCCCTTGTGTAAAAAATTACTAAAATGTTGTTATAAATTAAGCCTTCTGTGTTTATATTTTGTTAATCAAGAAGTTCTTATTGATGATTTCTTTAACTACTGTTTCAGCATCACTTTTGCCTTCCTGTTCTTCAGGAGCTCTGATGATTCTTATATTGTTACTCTTGAACTCAACCCATAGTGCTCTGGTATGCTGTTCATTTCTTTTCAGGTTAATTTTCACCTGCTGTTAATTTCTGCTGTTTCCTCAAAATTTCCTCTTCTCATCTTGGAACTTCTCAAACTTTTGCTCAACCTTTGTTTTTCTGCTGTTCAGAGCGTCTATTGACTTTTTAAAATACCACTTACCATGTTTTTCATTTCTGTCATTTCTGACTGTAGTTGGTTATTTTATTTTATTTTATTTTGACTCTTTCTGCTTTGCTGATTACCTGTGCTATCATTTTTTGGAATTCATTGAACATACTCATCATACTGTCACTAAAGACACTGAAGATTTACTGCTGTTATTTATGCCTTTGGTTCCTTTAAAATACATTTTATGACTAGGGGTTTGAATACTCTTCCTTAGCATTACTAACCATAGGTAGCTTTTCAGTTGCTATGATCTTTGTTCCATACCTTGTTCATTATTTAAGAGTTAAGATCTTCATACTTCGGCATGTCATTTTATTAAGGTATTTATATCTTAAGAATATTAGCATTTTATTATCCTATTTAATGTGGTTCCTATTTTCTTAACCCACTATTGGTTTTTTAAATTCATTTGAATTTTTGTGGGAGTAGTCAGAGTTTTAAGTTTTGCTATATACGTTTTCATTTTTTGGGGGGGTTACTTGGTGGTTCTCAGGGCTTTCCCTGGCTCTCAGCTCAGGGATTATACCTGGAGGGACTCATTGGACCATATTGGAGCCAGGGATTGGAATACAGGACTTGGGATACACTGGCTACAAGGCTAGTGACAAGTGCCTTATCCTCTATATTATACATCTGGTTCTATTTTACAATTTTTATGCACTTTTTATTCTCTTCTAACTATATACCTTTTACATAGCAAAACCTCTCCTATTTTTTTTGATTTTATGCAAAATAAAGTGTTGAGTAGTATATTCCTCTATTTATTTTGGGGAAGGGACCTTCAAAGGTGGGTAATGCTTTGGGAGTGGGCATGTAATGTCTGGGATCAAACTGGGGTTGGATACATATAAGGAATGTGTCCTAACCCTTGTACAATTTTTCTGACACTATAATTTTTTAATAGGTTAAACTATAGATCTGTCTGCATTCCATTTTACTGTTGAATTTGAATTCCTGAAGCCTAGTTGAAAGAGACTTGACTGTTAGAGTTGGAAACTGATAAAATTGGAAGTGTGAAAGTTTATCATTGTTGATTTTTCCACTCTCTCTTCCTGTGATACCTGTGGCATGCATCTTGTAGGTTTTAAAAGCAACGCAGTTGACTGATTTTTGGTTTTTTTCAGTTTTCTTTCATTTTTAACTTAGAACTATGCTCCCACTCTACCATGGTAAAAGCTTTTAGAGCTTAAGATGAAATAAGTGTCGCAAATATATATCAATTGTATAAGATGTAGTTTATATGATTTGGCTCCTTCTTTGGAATTGTTTCTTCTGGTGTTGTCAGCTTAATCAATGATAATGAGTTGAAAACCAGAATGAAATAAAATAATTTAAATATATATTTAACATTATATCTTTTTTTTTCCCTCTCCCTCTTCCTTACCTAGTTACCAGTGAAGTGTGCTCCTTGTACTGATTTTAAGAGTAAATAAGTAGGAATAGATACCCCTTGTAAGATGCTTCAGAAGATCTATTTAGGTGTTTTGGACACCTAACTAACTGCTTCCTCCCTTTTATTCAGTGCTCATTTCATTACTTTTTATTTTAGAATCTAGAGATTTATTTATTATTTATTCTATATCTAGAGATTGGCGATTTGCTTTAAGTTGTACTTTTAAAGATGAGTTCTTTTTGTTCCCTAATTAGTTAGGAAAAACATAGGGGATATATATTATCCCCTTAATATTGGAAAATAAGAAAGAAGTGGGGAATAGTGGGGAATGACCAGACTAGAACAATATTATGTTCTGGACTTGGCTGTTCTCGGTCTGTTTTCATCCCAGTAGGTCCAATATGGTGTCATTGCTTTATTTGGTACTTCTCACTTCAATCTTCTTGCTTGCTGAAACATCCTTTTTATTCAGCCTTTGACTTAGGACTGGGTTTTTTTTTAAATTTTGTATTCAATACAGATTTGGTTCTAGCTCCCCAATTTTATTAGTCACAAGAAATTCCCTGAGCTAATGTTTGTTCTTAGAAGAACTGCTTAGTAGGGCTACCAGCAGGCAATTTTGAAGCTTCACAATCTCTCCAGGAATAATACATAAATATTCCTCTTTTTAGAGTGTGTCATGTGATAATGTTGGGATAGGCAGTATATATGGAATATGTGTGTTTGCAGGGTGTATAATAAGAACTAATAGCAGAGTTGGTTGGTTGGTTCATTTGTACAAAATTTGTGCAGTCTAAGTTCTGTATCTAACGTGTGCTTTATAGATGAGACACACATTCTCAGGAAGATACTTCAGTGGAGAGTAGAATGTGTCAGGGTAAAAAATTTGTTGAGAATTAACAATGTGGGAAGTGTCATTTAACTTGAAGAAGTTGGAAGACGGTTCTAAATTACATACGTATACTCATTATCAGCACATACATTTCATCCATAAGTTACTTTATGAGATGCTTACTCTGTCTTGATGCTTATTAACTATGGGTAATTCTAATTTGAAGTGATTGGCAGCTTTGGAATGGGGGAAAAATGGACAGAGTGACTGAATTTGTACAGGCTTTTCCTTTTTATGACAAATGCTTAATGTTTTTGTGAAAATGAAGAAAATACTCATTTTTGCAAATGTCATCAATCTTTAACAATCAAAAATTTACTTGGCAAGAGAAGTGATGTAACTCTACAGAATTGTGGTTATTGTTACATTGTTTTGTTTACTATAAACCTGCTCAATATTGGTAAATATAGTGTAGCAGAAACTGAACTGTTGTGAGCCATCTGGGCAGCAGTCCAAGATATCATTAAAAATACTGCCTCAGACTAATTTGAGCTTATGAATAATATTTTGTTAACAGCTCAACTGAAATTCAACCACATGGTGTAGCGTAAAAATCCTGAGCCTACAAACTAATGAGGGTAGTATAAGTAGACACTGAATACTTAATAGTCTGTGTTTGAGTGATGCATTTTTTAACATTTAAATAATAGCACCCGCATGCTTAATATGATCAAATTTCTTTACTGCTTACATAAATGCTATGGTTAGCTGTTAACTTGAATGTCTCTTAAACTAAAATATTATTGGTTTAATGCTCAAACCTAAAGAATAAAGGAGAGATTGCTGAATAATTATTAAATGAACATTCTACGTTTTTGGCCTATAGCTAGAGTAAATGTTACCATAAATGATATTTATGGTAAATGTTAACATTTATCATAAAAATAATCGAAGGATATAGGTGTTGGAAAGGTCCAGTAAATAAATTAATTTTACTGATAAAAGGTAATCATTAGACTTTAAATATGCAATGAGGATTATGATTGTTAATTTATAAATACTTGATTATATAGGTGTGGCAAAGGGAATGAGGTTATGATTAATGAATTGCCCTAGATAGAACCTATACATTGGTGGTTACTGTCAAGAACATTCATATTTATCTTTTTCTTTTTGTGTAATTTCAACTAGTTTGTGTGGTTTCTGATAAAACTCTCCTTATAGGAAGGCTTAATTTTCTGTTGGTATGTACAGTATTTTTGTAATGAAAAGGATGATGTATTATTAAAAGTGTGAATTTTAAATATACCATGACTCAATAAGTATTTTATTCATCTTCCAGGTTAGCACTCTACGTATATGAATATCTGCTCCATGTAGGAGCTCAGAAATCAGCCCAAACATTTTTATCAGAGGTATGTTTTACATTTTCTGCTTTTTATTTTCTTACTTTATGTAAGTGAATGAAAAATAAGCTATTGTAATTATTTGGGAAATGATTATATTTTGCCTAGAACATGGTTAGTTGCACATACAGTCTTTGTACACTATTTATAAACACTTTTTGTATCTCCAAATGCAATTTCTATTCTGTAACCTCCTACTCAGTTTTCTAGCCAGTTTGTAGTGAGAAGTGAAAACCAATGTTCTCCTTTACAGAAATCATCAAGAAAGCAAATTTGCTTTCAAAAGAAAACTACAACCATATTTCTAATTCTAGCAGTATCTTATTTTTTGCATTACTCACAATTTTGGAATATATGTATTTCTTGTATTGGTAGTGGTGAACTGATGGCTGAATTTTATTAATCTTATTTCAGATAATTGTTTCTTCTTTTATTTTTCTCTTTTAGTGTTTTTTAAATGTTGAGTTGGGGCTTTCTTGCAATATTGTTTTCGTCTCTTATTTTAGTACTTTATGTAAGTGAATAAAAAATGTTAATACATAATAATAAGGAAGTCAGGAGGATTTTGTTGAGATCTGTTTTATGCCAAGTGTATCTTTTAAGATTCTTTAGCATATATCACCTCTAAATCTTAGAATTTTGTAAGAAATTTGTTAAGTTACATTTATTATTTCTGTTTTTTTTTATGGGAACAACAGTTTTCAGAGTTTATATCACCAAATGCACTGTTACTTGCGTAGTGTCTTGGGTTTTGGAAAAGAATGGAAACCTGTCTTTGCAAAGCCCCCGTTTTCCCTTCATGTCTGTGCTGAGCAGTGTGGTAGTCTCTAACCATATGTGGTTTTGGTCCCTTGATGTATGACCAACCCAGCTAAGTGCTGTGACTGATGTTCACATTGGAGTTGGATGATTTGGTATGAACAAAAGAAATATTAACATTCCAATAATTGAAACTTTTAAATCACTTGATAATATTTTTCATATATTGAGTAAAATAAAACTTAATCTTTAAAAGGTATGGTTTCTAAAATTTTTTAAATTCTATATGCATATCTCATATGTGCCTCCTGTTTCTGTCTCTTTGGCAGAGTATTGCTTGAGAGTATGTTGTTTTCAGTGCTCTCACTCATTTTCTACTTCCTACTTTGGAACATAACAGGCAACACCTTCATCCAGATGACCTACTTGGGATACAGCCTTCTTGAGATCTACTTGCTTTTCAAAGGAACCAATATGTGAACATGTAATTTCTTTTTCTTTTTTTTTTTATTTTCTGAGGAAGACATTTAATTTTTAAAAATTTTTTTTTAAATTCATGAATCATCATGAGATACAGTTATAGACTTACAAACTTTCGTGATTACATTTCAGTCATACAATGATTGAGTACCCACACCTCCACCACTACCCATTCTCTACCACCAATGTTCCCAGTATCTTTCCTGCCATCCGCCTTTCGCTACCCCCCCACCCCCGCCTCTGTGGCAGGCACAGCCCTTTTTACTCTCTCTCTTCTTTTGGGTTTTATGGTTTGCAATACAGGTATTAAGTGGCCATCAGCGAACATATAATTTCTTAATCTTTTGTCTAATAAGTATATGTGAACCATGAGTGTCTCCTTGCATAAAAGCAATTCAAGATATTTGCTTAGAATTGGTAAGAAGTCAGTTTTTTTGTTACAAAGACTAGAAGGACTATATTCAGTATAATTAAATTTTTATCATAAAATATTTAAAAATTAATATGAATTTTATTTCAAGGTTTATTCAAACCAAAACAGAAGTTTGTATATCTCTATCTCCTTAACCCATTAATCAATAGATTATGGACTGTGATTTTTCTAGGTTCTGTTTATTTATACTGCAGATTGAAATAGCAAAAAGATGCTGTAGTATTTGTATTTCTAATCACTGTCAACTGACAGTATATTAAGAGAAACTAAAACTAGTCATAGCTACTCAGTTTTTATTTTAATGCACTTGAAAACTTGAGCAAATCTGGTGGATGGATCTACTGATCTTGCTGAATGTTCAGGGGAGATTACATTTTCTTACCAACATTATAAGATGGCAGTGATTACTAAACTTAAAAAAGAAAAATATTGCTGATTTACTGAAGGAAGTTCAGAGATTGGAGCTAAAATGGGTTATATTGGTTGGTGACATTACTAGACACTGTACTCATATATACCATGGAGCACAATAGAAAATGTTTTTGTTTGCTTTTGAACCATCCCCTTTCTACTCAGGGCTCATTCAAGGCTCTACACTCAGGAATCACTCCTGGTGAGTTTGGGGGACCAGTTGGGGTCCTGGGATACAAGCCTGGGTCAGGCACGTTCCAGTTAGGCATCTTACCCACCTGTACTATCACTTTGATCCAGAAAATGGATATGAAAAATTTCTAGGACTGTTTGGTAGAAATGAAATTACAGTTTCAGAAGATTATCTACCCACTTTTTAAAAATCAGAATAATGGGTGAAATCATCTTATGATTTCATTTTCTTAGACTGCATTTGGAATATAAAACTGGACTTTTCTTGAAATGGCCAGTGTGGTTCAATTCCATAAAGAATTAGATGAGGACTGGAGAGATAGTTCAATGGGCTGAGAACATGTTTGTCATGTGAGTGGTCTGGGTATGAACCCTGCACCACATGATTCCATTAGCACTGCCAAGAGTAGCTCCTGAGCAGAGATAGGTCAACTATGAGCACTGCTGGGGGTGACCCTCAAACCAAGTAAATAAATGCAAATAAAAATAAGAATTAGCTGAATGAAAATAAGCTAAATGAAAATATCATCACCAAGAACACATAGTATTTCTGACTCTGGAGATGAGTTTGTGTGATTCTTAACTCCTCACTTTTTAGCTTGCCAAATTCTCAGTGGCACTGTGAGAAGGTAATCTCACTACCTGAGTGAATAATATAGGACCTGTTAAATAGGGGAATGGCTAAATCCAATGAGGTTTAATTTTACCATAATATTTAATGTTATGGTAAGTTAGATCTATTTGAGCTTGCATGGATATACTTTTAAAGCATTTTTTTATATAAGAAACAATCTATAATTCTCATTTACATGTTAGTCCTTGAGCATAAAGTAATACTTTGTGTTTTGTGGGTGCATATTTATGAATATAAAATTGCAATAAAAGGTCTATGGGACTATAGACTATGCTAAACTGGTTATCTCTGATAGTGGAATTTTTTAAATATTTTATTTAATTTTATTTTTTTAATTTTTTAAAAAATTTTTATTAGTGAGATACCATGAGGTACAGTTGTAGACTTACAAATTTTTATGCTTGGTTTTCAATTACACAATGATCAATTACCCATCCCTCCACCATTGCCCATTTCCCACCACGAGAGTGGGTTTTTTTTTTTTAGCTTTTTTTCTTTTTTGGTTTTGAGGCCACACTCAGTGATGCTCAGGGCCTGTTTCTGGCTCAGTGCTCAGAAGTCAGTACCTGCTGGCAGGTACTGTATGTGGTGCTAAAAATTGAGCCCTTATTGGTTGAATACAAGGCAAGTAAGTGCCTTATTTCCTGTGTGATCTCTTGGACTGGGAATGGGGATTTTAAAGAGATTTTCATTTTCAGAATCAAAGTCTGTAGATTTATGGTAGACAATTGCTGAGTACCCTTGAAGTTATAAACAATCCCAGTCAATTTTCAATCATTTACTATTCCTGACTCACAGTCTGAGGTTTTACACTATTAACTGCTTGTGCATGAATTTGCATATCCTGTGACTCCTGGGGGCCTGGAGTGATAGCACAGCGGTAGGGCATTTGCTTGCACACAGCCAACATGGTCGACCCGAGTTCAATTCCTCCGCCCCTCTTGGAGAGCCCGGCAAGCTACCGAGAATATCTCACCCGCAGAGTATCTCGCTCGCGCGGCAGAGCCTGGCAAGCTCCCCGTGACGTATTCGATATGCCAGACACAGTAACAACAAAGTCTCCAATGGAGACGTTACTGGGCCCACTCGAGCAAATCGATGAACATCGGGAGGGCCTTTACCTTTACCTTGTGACTCCTGGGACTTGGGCCATACATAAAGGTATTCACTGTCTAAATTCTCCTCTTTGTATCTATTTGACTAGCTTATAATTAGCATAATTAGCAGCTTTTTTTTTTTAGGAAGACTTTTTCTGTTGCTATTTTTTTTTATATAAAGACTTTTGCTCCTGTTCTAGAAGCTTTGCCTATTTTCTTGGCAAGGGAACTTCTGATGATTATTAGTTAAAAGATTAACATCCTAAGGTTTGTTTTCTGATCACAAGTAATATCAGCATGCATTACACTTATGCATGTACAGTAATTAAAGGAAAATGTAATTTTTTAGAGCTTTGTACCATTTTTATTTTTCTCTTAGTTTCATGTGGGGTTGGAAATTTAAGTTTTTCTTGTTTTAGAATGATTTCTTAAATATTTTGAGTAGTAGTATTATCTTGTTCAAATCCTTTTTAGTCAATCACTAGATTATTTTGCTAATTCATTGACCTTAATCAAGGAACTTGAAAATGAAGGAGAAATATTTGGGTTGGTACTGTGGTGAAAAGGAAAGGATTGAAGTGGCATCATTTCTTTTTTATCAGTTTCCTCTGTTCAATTGTAGTGAAATACTTCCGATGTTGGCTCTCTCTGCTAGACTGTATAAAGTCATGGATCATTGTGATGTTAATGATAACTTTGATCTTTTATTTGCATGGATTTGTTCTTATGTGTAAAGTTGTAAGAAGGTAGAAACAGAACTCTAGTCATCACCTGAACAAGTAAGACATGACTTGGCCTCCCTCTCTCAAGCACTTGCATTTAATATTTCTACTAGTGCACTTGACCTTGACCAAGACTAATCAATACCTTTTGTTATACACCAGAAAAATGGGACAATATTACCTAGTTAATTTTTTCTGATAAGAAATACCACTGGACTAACAGTTGAAATAGAAACACTTATTTAGCTTAGTTGTGTTAACTAGCTCATTGTTTCCTCTGA